TAGATTTCAAACATTATTGTATTGTGGTTTGGCTATGATGTAAAAATAATGCACATATATATATATATATATATATATATATATATATATATATATATATATATATATATATATATATATATAATATAATTTATTATATAATGTGATAAGAGCTATATTATTAGATTTTAATTAGTCACAAAATATGATTAAATTACTATTTTCAGGTAGTTACTTTAAAAAGGCTAGTATTGAGGTTGATTTTATATTGATAATAGTTTTTATATATTTAGAATCATCTTTTTTAGACATTCGTGACACTTGAAATGTTTTTTTTATTTTTTTTATTTAATATTTAGGATATATATTATAGAAATCTTATAAAAAAAATTGAAGAAGAATTTTGGTAGTAAATAGAGTAGCTAAGGCATCTATATAGATGAATGAAGATGAATAATGAAAATCTCTATTACTATTGGCCAAAAGGCATGCCTAATGGACTTTAAGGAGGTTGCTTGAGGTCTTATTAGGAATTAAGATTATTCTTTCAAGGAAATTCAAACTTGAGAGACTAAAATTAAGAAGTTTAGATTTTTGGCTATGATTTTGGTACAAATTTTAAGGGATTTGAAGTTTTTATAAAAAGAGATATAGGAGTTCAAAGTTAAAGTATTAATTTTGTACCTACTTTTATTCTTTTGGATATAATGCATGCGTATAAAAAGCAATAAAGAATTGGCGACTAGAGTTGAAAAGAGTATTTTTTTTATTACACTTTTTACATATTGCTTGATAAATTCTAAGTTGAAATAAAGGAGATATAGGAAGTTGAGGTCAATGCTTACAATCTAGGGGTAGTAAGTAACCCAAATTACTAGTGGTTATGTTTTAGACTATATCTTCAGTAATTTAATAAGATTTTTACTAAGCATTTTTAAAAATGTGTATTATGATGTTATTAAATTTTATCCACAAATTTTGTAGCATTTGGATTTTGGATTTTTGAGATATGGAGAAAATAATACTTAGATGCTTATAAAATAGGATTTAAAGCATCTATTAGGGTTTCTAAGATAAAGTCAATATTAAGTAAAAATTTGAAGAAAAAAAAGTAATGGATCAAGATATATGAATTTCTAAAATTTAGAGAGAAAAATCCTTTGCAAGAAAAAAAATTTTAAAAGGATTTTGCTACAATTTGAGCATCTTATACAAAGTAAAGGAGTTTTTGAAATCCAAGACTTTGTATATATTAAAGATAGAGATATAAAGCTATGGCAAAATTATGATATAAATATGAAATTTTATAAAAGAATTATAGATTTTCTTTGAGCTTATAGAAAATCTAACTTATCAACAAATAATTAGTTATGATTTGGTATAACAAAGGATGTTAGCACATTTCTAAAAGCTCTAAATAGCCTTGTATACAAACCTTCTTAAATATAAAAGTTTTTTATTATTAGAATATTTTTCTATAGTGCTACATTTATTTATCTTCTATAATAAAAATATATAACTTATTGGAGCTTGGCTAGTAATTGAAAGCTAAATTCTCTATAATCAGATATCCAATATATTTTTAAACAAAAAATCATACCATATGAAAATGTGGATAAAAAAAAGCATCAAAGGTCTTCCAATTTTAAAGAGTGGTGTATCTTTGAGCTCTTACTACAATAATTTGAATACAAAGAATTACAAACCTATAAAAAAATGGAATAAAAAACACTTACTTAAGTTGCATAAAATGGAGCATTATTAGGAGGCATGTATAGAGCTTATTTTAGCTCTTAAAGAAGGTGCTATCTCAAGCTTCATGCCTATGGTGAAGCATGAAGATCCAATCTAAAGAAAAGTTAAAATATCTTTAAAGATACCAAAAGAAAAAAAAAAATGGAAACTTTCTAAATCAGCACTCTAATTACTTTGACTCAACAAAATCAAAACTGGCACAATTCAAAGTGGGTGAATAAGAAAATATTGTTTAAACGAGTAGTTTGATGTTATTGGTGTAAACAGACTTGATCTCTTTACAAATATCTGTTTAAAATAATTAAAAAAATCTGTATTGTTGATGGCCTTGTAGTATTCTTGATACAACTTGGTATCAATGTACTTTACAATTTGTCAAAGATATTAAAGATATCAAAGATACAATTATACCATTGTACTTTAGTTAGTGCTTTTTATAAAGTATGCTCTCTTTTCATTTTACTTCTTCTTCTCAACAAAAATTATACATAGCCAGGTCTTACATGGATAGTATATAATTTTTTCTAAGAATTTTTCTACCCATTTACTTTTTTCTAAATATAAATATATTAAATTAACATTAGGTTATTCAAAAAAAATTATAAAAATAAAAAAGAAATAACAAGATTATAGATAAAAGATAACATATACATTTATTTTTATAATTTTTAAAATTTTAAATAATATTACTATCATATATATTTTATGATAATAATTTTTATTTGGTTTTATATCTTAAAAAATTCATAATATATCAAAACATAAATTTATAGAAATCATATATATATATATATATATATATATGTTAAAATGACCCATCCTATCATAAACAACAAGGAAAACTAAGACTAAGGTCAAGCTCAAGAAGGTTGGGAATGAAGAAAGCAAGGCTGAGGAACAAAAGAGGTAGTAATGAGAGCCATAATTGTAATGATGGTTTCAAGAGATGATCCATTTTTTAAATGATGGTTATAATTATGTAGATATATTTAGTAAATAAGTGAATAATTTTATTATTATATATACAGTAATAAAAAAATAAATAAATAAATAAATAAATAAATCAATAGAAGTTTTTTTAACATTATAAAAAAAATTCATAATTATAAAATATTTTTTTTGAAAATAAGATTTATTTCTAGGTTGCTATTATTATGGCATTAAATCAGCCAAAAAATAAAATAAAATAAAATAAAACAAACAATAAAAATACAATATACACAATTTTTCTAAGAGAGTTCTATATATATATATATATATATATACATATATATCCAAGGCATAAATACATATGTAGAGAAGAGATGGAGATATAATAGGATTTTATTAGGAGATTAAGGTTGGTCTAAGATTTTGGATTTGATTAGGATTTGGTTAAAATTTAGAATTTTATTAAAATTTTATTAAAATTTAATTAGAATTTAAATAGGATTTGATTAGGATTTATTCAATACTTTTATTTTTAGTATTTTAAAATATTTTTTTATTATTTCTTTATAATTTTATATTTTTAATATTTCTTTAAGATTATTATTATTTCTTTAAGGTTTTATTTTTTATATTTCTTTAGGATTTCTTTATTATTTTTTTTGAGATTAATTTATAGCTTCATTATGTTTCTTTTATAATTTCTTTTAAATTTCTTTTGGATTGGTTAAAATTTGATTAGGATTGTAAATAATTACTTAAAGTTTATTTAAGCCTCTATTAGATTTGGTAGGATTTTGTTATTGTATTTCTACTTACCTTCCACAACTTCGTGCCTAATGCATTTTCAAGCATTCTCAAGCAAGCAGAATACATGTAATGTAACACTGCACTAGTTGTTGAGTAATTTGCAAAGTCTATGTGATAGTGAAGAACTCCGTTGTATTAAGGTAGCATGTAGAAGTGTAATTGGTGTTGAATCGAAGTACATTTGCACACCTATCATGGATAGGGTGGGAGTAGATCTTGACAAAAGATTACTTGATCACCATGACGAAGTTTGTATTCCCACTCTTACTTTGTTATATGATAAAGAGGTGTGGATTCTTACTCTTTGCCTAAACTATGCTAGAGAGACTACTATAGTTTGTATACCTTTCCGGTTGCTTTTATAGTTCAACTATATTTTGTCTGATAGAGATCTTATTGTAATTTGTCTAACTATCTTTTGCAATGAACTAGTTGTGTATTGGCTTGCAGATAATTATAATTTGGTAACAAAGACTTGGATTAGGTCTTAGAGCTGGTGTTGTGGAGTCTTAGAAAGGATTTGATTGTTGGAGAAAATTATTGCATGGTGTTAAGGAAAGGATTGCTTATACAGTGATCTTCATTTACGTGCTGAAGTCATTGCGGGAATTTTATTTTTAGTTTTTATTTTTACTTTAGATTCTTGATGATTGCAAAGTTTATGCATGTAGGAAAGTTGTTTGGCAATGAATAGGTACTTTGGCAGTGATAACTCTCATTGTTGCTTTTCTTTTCTAATAAGAACACAAATGTGTGCTTTACCACAATTCTGTTGATCAGATCGTTTTTCAGTGGGAGAGGTTGTATCAACTATTAGCTTATGTGCCCTCAACAAAATTTATTCATCTATCCATCACATTCATCAATAGCTGCACCTACCAAACCTTATCATAAGCGTAGAATCGTGTTCACAAAGTATTGGCTCAAGACACCTACTTATACCAAAATATTACCATTTCAGCAAGCAGTTTAATATAGATCCTCTGTTGAGGAACGATTGTTAGCATGGTATCAGAGTAACAAGGTGTCTCAAGATAGAGTCGTTAAATCACGTAGTCTTGGTGAGCAATGTTTCTAAAACTAAGAGAGAAGATTTAGACACAAGTGAGCTATGCTTCTTGTCTGATACACATAGCAAAGTGAGCAATGCCCCTGCATTCATACAAAGTGCAACAGTCCAGAGGTCCGAGAGAAAAGATGACAGAACATGAGAGCCATAGAAGTATGTCTGTTGAAGATCCCAATAAGCTAGTAGGACTTAGTAACTATTATATATGGCAAATCAAAATGAAAGCCATATTAAGATGAGAGAATGTCTCGAAGTCAACAAAAACAATCCATGAGAAAGGCAAAAAATCTTACCTTATTAGGAATACAACTCTCAGTAAATGACAATCTTCTTGGTTTTGTTGTAGATTTCAACGATCGAGCTCTAGCATGGGATAGACTCCGCGCAGAATTTGCATCTGGACATCAATCTCAACTGTTGATGCTAACAAATCAGCTTCATACATTGAAGATACCAAAAGGAAGCTTGATGGAAGATTATATCAACAAGGGATCTGATGTTTGGAACAAACTTCTTTCTATGGAAGAAGTCGTTTTTTACTGAGGTATCTAGCAGCTCCTGGATATGGATTGCCCAAAAGCTATGAGGGCACAGTTAAAACGCTGAGCAATCTCAATACTGTATTAACTTTTGAGCAGCTCACAACCAAGCTACTAACTGAAGCAGCTTGAGAGGAGCAAAGAACATCTTAACTAGGCAATGAGGAGGCTCTGGCAACTTACTTCCATTAAGGAGCCAACATTCAAATTCTTGGTTTTTATGCTCCTCTGTTCAAAGGTTAGTATTGACGAGGTTCAAATGTTAGAGCTAGAGGTTAATTCTCCAAATGCAGAGGACAAAACAGAAGAGGATTTCAATGCCCAACTTTTACATGTAATCAACTATGGGCAACTTGGACACATTGCTGCTGGTTGCCAGAGTCAACCACGACAATCATTTAACTCACACAGAGGTTAGTTTACTTGTTCTAGTTACGCAAAAGCTGTAGAAAACCTCAAGGCTACCTTATCAGAGCTGTCATGACACATTCACAGCCCCCAGTCATGGTACATGGACAGCGGTGTAACTATTCACGTGACCAACTCAAATAGTAAGATCAATCAACTTGGAGAAGGTAGCACAGGGAGACACATATGAAATGCAGGAGGAGAAAATCATGCCATCCAAGGTATTGGCACATCCACTATAAAAACTGATTTCGGTGAAATAAACATAACTAATGTGTTGTACGTGCTTGGCCTTCAAAAAAGCCTGATTTCAATTGGTGTTGTTTCAGACACTAAAAATATAGTTGTCTTCTCAAACTCCCACTGCGGGATACTAGATAATCTCAAAAATAAAAACATTATTGCTCTTGGCTATTGTGATTCAATAAACAAATTGTACAACTTTGGATTTGATCCTCAAGTTATTAACGTAGACTAATCAGACAACAATGATATTTGGCATCGAAGATATGGACACCTGAACCATTATAGCCTTACACACTTGCTTAAACACAATTAGTAGTATATAAAAGTAGTATGTAAAAGCTGCCTTGCAGGGAGACAACATCGGGAGAGATTTCCTCGCCACTCCAAAAATAGATCAATTAAGCGAGCTGAATTGATCCATTCTGATTTGGTTGGCCCTCTTCTAACCACATCCTTAGGAGGTTCTAGATATTTTGATGTTTTCACAGATGGTTTTTCCCCCAAAAGCTAGACATACTTCTTAAACAACAAGGCTAAGACCTCAAAACTTAGGATCTTCAAGGAGGTCATTGAAACAAAAACTCAAAACAAAATCACATCACTTTGAACAGACCATGGTGGAGAATTCTTGTCCAGCAAATTGAAGACTTATTGTGAAACTCGCAAAATTACTAGACAACTCACCCAAGCATTGACTCTCCAGCAAAACGAAGTAGCTGAGCGTCGTAATATGACCATAATAAAGCACGCCAGATCGCTAGCAACTGATGCAAGCCCTCCTGGATTCCTGTGGACAGAGGCAGTAGCAACAGCCACATATCTCGTCAATTGAAGCCCAATAGTTGCCAATAAAAGAGTCACACCACAAGAAAAGTATACAGGTAAGTTATCATAAGTTGATCATTTTAGAATTTTTGGATGCATTACATTCATGAATGTGCCCAAGAAACAAAGAAAAAAAATGGATAGTAAAACCAAAAAATGCCTATTTATTGGATGTGACGAGCAGAGCAAGACTTATAGATTATTTGACCATCAGAATAAAAAAATTATACTCACAAGCGTTTTTTTTATTAGACTTGTATCGGATATCATCTTTTAGCTACTCCTCTACCACCTGATGAGTTATTTCCAATATCTCACCACATACTCGATTTACTTGATGAAGCATGTGATTCTGACATTACTCAAGAACGTGACTTAAACCAAGATTTTCTAGCAAAAGATGAGTATGCAGGATATGATCACACAACACCAACGTAAGTATTCTATAATATGGCCAAAGCAAACTAATTAGACAAACAAAAATAAAGGATACAATTATCTACAGAGGGGGAGTCAAAACCAACAGCAAGAAGGTATTTCACACGGATAAGAGCACCATCAACACGACTCAAGGATCATCTATCGATTTTAACTACTCACACAATGGAAGTGTCACGGACACAAAATACAGACTTGAAATCTAACAAGAAGTTCAAGAAGAAGTGGCAGAACTAGATTAAACAGATGAGTACAAGAACAACACCAGAAAGGTGAACTAGAACTCCAAGAGATGTGTTGTCGAGACTGAAGAACTCTTCAGCCTCGATTCCTATATATACTCCTACTTAGGAAGCTTCTCGAGCTACTTCTATTAACTAGGAAGCTTCTAGAAGGTTCCAGAGGCTTCTTTTCTAGAAGGTTCTAGAAACTTCTCGAGCTACTTCTATTAACTAGGAAGCTTCTAGAAAGTTCCAGGGGATTCCTTTCTAGAAGCTTCTAGAAACTTCTCTTCTAGAAGGTTCCAGAGACTTCCCTTCTAGAAGCTTCTAAAAACTTCTCTCTAAAAGGTTCCAGAGGCTTCTCTTCTAGAAGGTTCCAGAGGCTTGTTTTCTAGAAGGTTCTAGAAACTTCTGTCTAGAAAGTTCTAAGGAATATGTCCTTAACATCACCCCCTCCTTTAGCTTCGAGGTCTCTGAGAAGCAATGTTATTGATCAGTACCAACGCAAGAAAATGAAGATCTGTCGCATAACTTCTGGTATGAACTCCAACTATTGTTCACAAGGCAAGTGGTTTATCAACCCTTGAAGCCAACGGTAGTGGCCCATGCCTTCGACTTCTGACCAAGCATGAACTTCCGTGTCTTCATTGTGAAATTATCCTGCAAACACGCCTTCTGGTTGACCATCGTAAGCAGGCTCGATCTCAAATACGATCACCAGTGATCGGTTACTCGGTATCCTCCGTCGTCGTCGTGGTACATGTAGTTCTTCATCTCGGGGTCGCCTTCGTGAGCTACTCGATTGCGATACTCTGACTGGCATAGTATCTATCTCTTGGCTATCCATATCAAAAGACCAAACTACGATCTATCTTGGAGAAAATAACTACATCAACTATGAATTTTGCTGGTGCTCTCCCCTTTTCTTATATTGTTGGGAGAACAAGCTTCAGAAAGAAGCTATCATCGAATTGATTTAGGTTTATCAAGATGTCGTTGATGAAACTCTTGTACCTTTTGTGGCGCATTCGCAAGATTTTCAGCTGGCTCCCACGTTCGCTCATTAATATCATAGCCGCACCAATGAACAAGATATTCTAACTTTCCCCACCTTCGCCGTGAATCCAATACCTTTTCAACCTCATATTCTTCGTGGTTCTCGATTTCAATACTAAGTGGCGGACATTGCACTCTTTCAGGAAAAGATGACTCTCGATAAGGTTCCAACAGAGAAACATGAAAGACTGGATGTACCTTCATAGAAGCCGGTAACTCCAACCGGTATGCCACTAGATTAATTTGCTTCTGGATGATAAATGGTCCCAATCTTCGATAGTCCAACTTATCACATGGTCGCTTGGTCTTGATATTTCGTCGAAGAAGCCAGGCTTTGTCTTCAACTTTGAAAGTAGGTGCTGGATTCCGAAATCTATCTACAGACGTCTTATAGGATTCTTGAGCGGATTGTAATTGAAGCTTCAACATAGTTTGAAGCTCTGATAGTTGCTTCGCAAATCCTTCAGCTGCTGGATTGTTATTTGTTGACGGACTCAATAAATCAAGCTTCGGATGATACCCATAGTTGGAAAAGAATGGTGTTTGTTGAGTCGACGCATGGAGGGTGTTGTTATATGCAAACTCGGCTAGCGGTAGATATGCAGTCCAATCGTCTTGCTGATAGTTGATGCTGCATCGTAAGTACTGCTCCAAGACTTGGTTCACCCGTTCTGTTTGGCCATCAGTTTGAGGATGAAAAGCTGAAGAAAGCTTGATATCCACCTTCAATATCCCAAAGAGAGATCTCCAAAACTTTGACACGAACTGGGTACCTCGATCTGATATGATATCATCTGGTAGTCCATGATATCGATACACATTATCGAGAAAGAGTCTTGTTGTGACTTCACTGGACGATGTCTTCTTACAAGGAACAAAGTGTGCCATCTTTGTAAGCCAATCTACCATGACAAAGATGTTGTCAAATGAGTTTGATGATGGCAAGTCCGTGATGAAGTCCATAGAAATTGAAGACCACGGTCGACGTGAAATTGGCAATGGCTGTAGAAGTCCATAAGGGCAATGCCGAGGATTCTTAGATCTTGAACAGATGTCATAAGAGAGGACAAAATCTTTCACATCCTTCCACATTTGGGGCCACCAAAAATCTCGGGAAATAAGCTCCAAGGTCTTGTTGAATCCAAAATGTCCCGCAACTGGAAAATCATGGGGAGATTGAAGAACTCGGAGTCGTGCTAGTCTTTTTGGAATGTACAATCGCTCTTCAAAGTATAAAAGATCTCCCTCCACCTTGAACTTGTCGTCATTGGTACGTTGCTTGACATCAATGGCTACTGAATCTTTAATGGTCATAGCATGTACCTGGTTTAGGAAGTCAGCATCAAATGATATAATAGTAGCACAAAGTTGAAATCTCTCTGGCTTCAATAACGTTGTACATTGTTGATCAAACGCTGCTTCTCCAGCCTTTGGTGCAAGATACGATCTCCTTGATAAAGCATCGGATAGTCCTTGCTGCCTTCCAGGTCGATAAGTGATAACAAAATCGAATCTAGATAGCGACATATTCCACCAAGCTTGACGCCGATTTAAAACTCGAGCCGTCATTAAATACTCCAAATTCTTGTGATCCGTATATACGGTTACTGGATGTGCAGCTCCTTCAAGAAAGTGACGCCATTCTTCGAAAGAATCCACTATAGCAAGAAGTTCCTTATCGTGGATCTTATAATTGATTTCAGCAGTAGAGAACTTCCGAGAATAGAATGCAACTGGATGGAGCTTCTTATCTTCACTCATTTGTGAAAGCACAGCTCCCAAAGCAAAATCTGAAGCATTAGTTTCTAAATAGAAGGCCTTTATAAAGTCTGGATGTACCAAAATTGGAGCTGTAGTAAATGCTGTCTTCAAATCTTGAAACGCCTTCTCCGCCAAAGGTCCCCATTCCAACTTATCCTTGCATGTTAATCGAGTGAGAGGAGCAGCAACTTGAGAATAATTCTTGATGAAGATTCGATAGAAGTTAGCAAAACCAAGAAAGCATTGTATGTCTCTAACCGTCTTTGGAACCTCCCAAGACATGATTGCTTCTACTTTCTTGGGGTCCATCTTCAAACCTTCTGTAGTCGCAACGAACCCCAAAAATTCCATCTCCGTCTGGTGAAATAAACACTTTTCTAATTTGGCATATAGTCCTCGCTTGCATAGTTTCTTCAAGACCAAACGAACATGCTCCTCATACTCTTCTTCGTTTTTAGAGAATATTAGAATATCGTCTTAGTAGATGACAACAAAATCGTCGAGGTGTTCTCAAAAGATGTCATTCATCATATGTTGGAAAACCACTGGAGCATTGGTAAGACCAAAAGGCATGACATTATATTCGAAATGACCATACCTTGTACGAAATGCTGTCTTCCACTCATCTCCTTCCTTGATTCGTACGAGGTTATAAGCTCCCCTTAGATCAATTTTTGTAAAGATCTTCGCACGTCCAAGTTGTTTTAAGAGACTAGAAATCAAGGATAATGGGTAACGATTTTTCTTTGTTATCTTGTTGAGGCCTCGATAGTCCACACACATCCGTAATGATCCATCTTTCTTCTTCACAAATAAGATGGGTGCTCCAGCTGATGATTTTGAATGATGAATGAAGTTCTTGGCTAGATTCTCGTCGATGTGCTTTCGTAACTCTGCCAACTCCGTTTGTGATAGATTGTAGATTGGGCCAAAAGGTGGTTGTGCTCCTTCTTGCAAGTCTATGGCACAATCATATGGTCGGTGTTTTGGTAGTATGTCGGCGTTCTTCTTTTGAAACACGTCTTCAAAATCTTTATATTGCTCCGGTATACTTGCTGTTGAGATCTTCTCCTCGATAGTTGGAGCTGCATAAATGACAAATGGAGTGCCTTCCTTAGATGATCTTATAAACGCTCTTGCTCCAATGAATAAGGATTTCTTTTTTCGAGGTTTTTTACTAGGTTTTTTCTTGGGTGGTTTTGTAGGAAAAGTCATCTTCCGCAACCTCCAATCTATCAATGGATTATGTTTTTTCAACCAAGAAAGACCAAGAATAATAGGATTTGATGGGGTTCTAATAATATTAAAAATAATATGACTACTATGGTCTTTAAACGTTACTCCTATAGGTTTTGATTCATGGGTGATGCTACCAGACAATAAAGGTCGCCCATCTATGACCTCAACATGAACAGGTTTTGATTTTTGTACTAAAGGGATCTTATGATGCTTTGCAAATTCTTCGTCTAAAAAACAAGCAGGTGCTCCTGAGTCTAGTAGTGCTAAGGTTCTCAGTTTTTGAGGGCCGATAAATAGAGGGATTGTAAAACAAAGTGCAGGTTGGGCAGAAAGAAAGGAACCTGATTATTGTTGGGATATTTCTTTGTCCAGCCGCACGGTTCCTGCTGTGGCTGGGCATCCTCGTTTTCCTGAACAAATACTCCCCTAGTCTTGACTATGCCTCGATTTTGCTTTTTGGGGCAGTTTTCGACTTTGTGGCCTTCTCCACCGCAATACAAGCATAAATTTTCCTCCATACGTTGCTTTTTTTTTTCTATAGTAAGAGATTTGATACGTACCGCATCAATTTGCATGTCTTCCACCTCTGAATGCGAATTCACACCGCTTGCCGACATAGTTGGAGCATGGCGAATTATATGTTGTCTTGAGCGTTGGTCTTGGCGACGTTGGAATAGGTGATTATCACACTTCACAGCTTGGCTAATGGCTTCATTGAGCATTCGTGGATCAGGAAGAGTTAACAACAAATCCTTCACATCATCTCTTAAACCCCAATAGAATTGACTCATCAACGCTTCTTCATCCCAATTGATGTCGCATACTAATTGCCTGAAATCCAAAGCATAGACTGATGTAGAACGCATCCCTTGTCGTAGCGACCGGATCTTTGTTGTAGCCCATCGAACCTTATCGTGTTCACCAAATGCTTCCGCAAATGCTTCCAAAAAGGTTTCGAAGTTGTTTAATATGGATGATCGTTTCTCAAACAAAGGAGCAAACCATGATAGAGCTTGTCCCGTAAGTAAGGTTCCAACAAGCCCAACACGTGACTCCTCCGTTGGATATCGTTCGGGCTGTAAAACTGTTATCAACCTGATTTGATTGACGAATCCTCGAAACTTGGAACGTATTCCATCAAACTTATCTGGAAGGCTAACTCGAGGCTCCTTATGTTGTAGAATTAGTGGTTCTTGTCGAACCTGAGGTAAAGTTGTTTCTCCAAGTGCCGAAATTTGAGGCTGGTGTAGTTTAGATTATGCTATCCCAGATACTCCATCATTATGAAGCCTTGCCATCACTCCTTCAATCTCTGCAGTTCTTTGTGATAACGTAGCGAAGGCATTCATAATAGCATCTAACTTAGACTCCGAACTTTCTGTCATACTAATGTCTTGACCTCCGGCCATTCTAAAAGAAGGACAAAAATGACCCTATAAGAGGCAATATTGGTTTATAGGAGGGTAATCCACAACCTATAAAACGCCTTAAGAATTTCAAGAAGAGGGGTAATCCACTCTCTCCAAGAAGAATAAGACTCCAATATTGTAACAGAAGAAGTATCAGTTTAGAGGAGGATAATCCGCAACCTCTAAAAAATGCTAGTATACCTTCAAGTAGAGGGGTAATCCACACTCTACTAAGAAAGAACTAGCTCTGATATCTCAAGTTAGTGCAGTCTCGACAAACTGTCACGGACACAAATACAGACTTGAAAACTAACAAGAAGTTCAAGAAGAAGTGGCAGAACTAGATTAAAGAGATGAGTACAAGAACAACACCAGAAAGGTGAGCTAGAACTCCAAGAAATGTGTTGTCGAGACTGAAGAACTCTTCAGCCTCGATCCCTATATATACTCCTACTTAGGAAGCTTCTCGAGCTACTTCTATTAACTAGGAAGCTTTTAGAAAGTTCCAGGGGATTCCTTTCTAGAAGCTTCTAGAAACTTCTCTTCTAGAAGGTTCCAGAGACTTCCCTTCTAGAAGCTTCTAAAAACTTCTCTCTAAAAGGTTCCAGAGGCTTCTCTTCTAGAAGGTTCCAGAGGCTTGTTTTCTAGAAGGTTCTAGAAACTTCTCTCTAGAAAGTTCTAAGGAATATGTCCCTAACAGGAAGAACCAAACTTTTATGCCAATGCAGTCTAAGATGAAAGGTGGCTCAAAACAATGCAGCAGTAAATTAACTCTATCAACAAGAATCTAACCTATATAAATAGATCTATAGATAAAACTCCTATCATTGCAAAATAGATCTTTAATGTTAAATAAGAGCCAAATAGAAAAGTTTAAAAACTAAATGCTTAGAATGTGGCAAGAAGATTTCAACAAATAGTTGAAATTGACTACTTCAACCCTTTTGCACCAATAGTACACTAGGTCACTATAATATCTATTCTTTCTCTTAAATCTAAAAAAAATAGAAAATTAAACAAATGGATGTCAAAACAACTTTTTTGAATAGAAAACTTAATAAAGAAGTGTTTGTAGAAATATCAATGGGATTTGAACAATCTAGGAATCCTTCAAAGGTATGCAAGCTAAAAAGAACATTATACAGGTTCAAACAAGCTTCGAAAGCATCATACATATGCATTGATTCATGGCTGACTACAAAAAGCTTCACAAAAAAAGAAATATAAATCTAAATCTATATTATAAAAATAAAGATGGCAAATTTATCATTATATTATTATATTTAGATAACTTATTAATTACTAGAGATAGAAAATAATAAATCAAACAACTACAAAAAGACCTAGCTATTAATTTTAAAATGACAAATCTAAGCCTTATAAAACTATACTTTGGAACCAAACTAAAATACTCTCTCTTAGATATTTAGATACATCAAAGAATATATATATAGGAAAATTTCTCAAATAATTTGGCTTAATAGGATGCATTTCATATGAAATATCCATGGATCTAAGAATTTAATTACAAAAAAAAATGAGAACCAAAGAGGTAGATCTTAAACTCTATTAATCTATAGTAGGTAATTTCATTTATATAATCCAAAATCTAATATTCCTTTCAAATACTTTAGTATTTACTTGGTTCCTATTCAGTGTGCTTCTTCTTGCAAATTTATGTATCTATTGACATAGCTTATAATATAATAAATATCTAAAAAAGATTCAACGAAGTTATTCCTTCAACTTCTTCTTCTAAGGTTTTGTCATGCCTTCTATAATTTGAGATATCTTATACAAGAGACCTAAAGACTTGGAAAGATTCATTCAAGTTGCTTTAAAAGTAGAGGTTATAGATAAGGAAAATAATTGTAAGCTTAAAAGGATACAAGAACCAATACTTGTCTTTATATTCTTATAATATTGACGTACAAAATTCCATCAATCTCTAGCTTTAAGATACTTACAACCTTCTACCTTTCCTTTGTTAATTATCAATCCAACACCTTTTCATATACAAACTCTACATGATCAAGTTCAAACTAAGATCTTTCATGATACTAGATTAGACAAATTTAAAAGCAAAGTAAAGCAAATCAATGAGGTGTTCAAAAATAAGATGATGAATACTATGAAAGCCATTAGTAAATAAATGTCTTGTCTTGTTAAAAATCAAACTCCAACTATAAACCCTAGATACCACAAATTGGAAATTTACACCTTTCAGTTGTTGTGTACAAATTATAGATAAGTGAATCACATGGCATAAATTATTTTATAATTCCTATAATAACAACTTATGAAAAAAAATCAATTCTAATCATATAAGCCTCTTCATCTATTGAAATAAATAGGTCTCAATTTTCCTTCAATCCAAAAGAATGTTATTAGACTTTGTCCTACTTGCAAAAAACCACATTGAATAGATCAATCTTGGATTGAGAATAGAATTGTATGCTCTAATTGTATAATTTTTCATCCTATAGATTGTAGTAGAAGATCCAATCAAGTTATTTCCTCAACCTCTTCTTCAAAAAACTATAATAACCAAGCCAGAGGAAATATGCAAGAAGTTAAATTTACAAATTTTATCATTACAAAAGGTCCATCAAATGTGTACTATGATCCTTCAAATCATGGTCAAAATCATAATTCTTTAATGATAGTTCAAAGCAATCATGAGACATTGTAAACCTCTATAATATATAATCAAAACAAAAACTAAAATCAACAACAATAAACTTTTCAAGATGTTAGATACGAAGTGGCTCAACATGATGTATCTTTACATAAAATTTATCATCTCTTCAATTCAACTTGGTGCAATTAAACAATAAAGAGATCTTCTAAGACAATATATATATTTACCTTCTTTAATTATAATTAAAAGTATGAATGCCAAAAAACCAATAGATTTAGCACAACTTAAAGAAGATGACATATCTATGGACATATCAAAAGACACATTTAAATTTGTAGAATTGTCAAAAACTACTCAAGAAATAGCTGAAGAATTAGAAGACAAACAACCTTCTTTTGTAATTAAATCTGAGGTAGATGAATACTAATTTGTAAGCAAAGGACCTTAGACCTCTAACATATTTTTGAAACAACCATCAATTAATAGAACCTTCAATAATATACAACCTAATGACATATAGTAAGATCTTTGTAGAACTAGAATTAATATTTCTTTTGGAAAATTAATTCAAATAGCAATAAGTATTAAAAAAGATCTCAAAAATATATATATATATATATATATATATATTATAAAGAAAAACTAAGAGAATAGAAAATAGCAAGAATTGAAATTGATGATTTAGATGGGAATATTATCTTGAAAAAAAAAAAAAACAAACAAACAAACAAACAAACAAACAACAACAAAAACAATAGAGAATATGGACTTGTTGAAATAGATGTAGAATTAGTAGATAATATAGTTTCTAAGGTGATATTATATGATGGAAGTAGCATCAATAATATGCATAAATCCATCAAAAACAAATTTTCTCTATTAGAGCCAATCATAAAAGCCAATAATATCTTGAACCATCATTTCAAGATATAAATAGCACATCCAACGAACTCTTCACACCATGAGTCAACAGAGACGCAAATTTATTGCAGTGCTGCTCGCAACGCCCTTGCTACCACCTTCCCAAGCTTCACCACATTCGCCATTCCAAAATAACGTGTGCATTATTACATCCTCAAAATACCACACAAACTATTTCATCTGTGCTTTACATGCCGCCAGGCCACGGTTCCGCAATTTCACCCCCACCCATGTCACACCACTCGCCGTCGAAACTTGTAATCAACACCTCACAAAACTCTCCAGCCCAGCCTTACTGCAACGCCTCTGCCTCCATCCTGCACGCCCCCGCCTGCTCCCTGTTGGACCCAACTTCCCTCTTCCAACGCCTACCACCTTCCATCGTGCTCACAGCCCGCTCCACAGTAACCTGATGCTAATGTATCTACACTTCTGACTCTTTCAAATAGATCCCCGACTCTCCAGCCTCCTTGCATCTTCCCGCCCGACGGACCTCTTTCGCACATCTGCTTCCCTGGTCCAACCCTCGCCTCATCCTACGCATATCTACACCTCAAAAATCCTCCACACGTCCAATAATTACGCCCCCCGCCATTGCCTCCTTCCGTTCTTCCCATACAAACCGCCCTCACTCGCTTCGCAAAACTTGTCCCGCCGCCCCTCACTCTACCTGGTCTCCGATGTGCGGCCCGTCCGAATGGAAAAGGATCGGACGGCAACGCTTGTCCTCGTTCATCAGGCTCGAGTTCTGGAAGTGAGCCACCAGAGCAGCTTTGCCCTGAATCCGGGCGTATGCCAGCGACGCCACTTTCTCCGAGTTGAACTTCTCCCACTTCTTCCCGTTGAACGCTTTGTAGAACGGCACGATCCGCGCTGGCGACGTCATATTAATGAACGCGTACCCAACGTTGCACTTGTTCTGCGCACGCATCACCCGTCAGCCCATTCCCAACCACCCCTCCCACCCTCTCTGCTCACTCCAAAACACACGCCCTCCCAACCATCTCTCCGCACACCCCACACTTCCCCACTCCACACCCACTTCGCCCACCCCCACCCCATGCAACACACCACCATGCCCCGCCCCGCCCCACTCCATGCAACTGCTGCACACCGTACCTTGAAGTCGATGGGAAGGTATATGAAGTCGTATGTGCCCCGATGCTGCTCATCGATTGCGGCCAGCAGCATCTTCGACGTGTACCTGACAACCCACACTCCTTGCTTCAGCGCATACGACACCACCGCACCCTAAACAATCCCCAACACCCGCATGACCCTCACTCACGCACTACGCACAAAAACCATCCCACCCCCTCTTCACAACTACGTCCCATCTCTTCCGCCCAAACACTGCACGCTCTCTCCATCTCACCATTCCACAACCAACCACGTCGCTTACTTGTTCGGAATGTTCTTGATCATCAGGGTCGTCCTCAAATCTTCGCCGCGCATTATCCGCTCCAGATCCAACTGGTACTGCTTCTTGTTGTCTGCCTGCGCAGATCCGCTCTCCCCCCTCCGACTTCGACCCCTGTCCGTCAGACCCTCTATCGAACTCGTCCCCAGCACACCTCCGTTTTGCAGAAACCGTGCACGGTTCTGTGGTGACATCATCCCCATGTTCGGCGACGACGCATGCTCCATCCCACAGTTTCCCCCCACTGAACTGCTCATGTTCATCACACCATGTTGGCTGCTTCCGCCGCCGATGTTCATCGCATGAGCTGCGTTTCCACCCAGACCTGTGCCTGATGAAGACCTCATCAGGGCGCCGCTCTCCACCAACGACTCGCCTCCCATGTAGCTGTGCCGTCGCTCCAATAACGACGGCTCTCCCGATGGAGCTGAACCCACGTGGTGACGCGACAGACTCGCCAGCATGCCGCTGCTGTACGCGTGCGACTGCGCCTGTGTCTGCCCGATTGCGTTGAACGCCTGCCCCATCGACGACGGGTTCGCCCACAGCACCGGCGGAGGACTCCCCGATATGTGAGAAAATGACGAACCCGAACCTCCCCACAGACTGAACTGCTGCCCGGACGCCGATCCGTTGCCGTTCGAACTCGGATACAGAAGCCCGCTCCCTCCGGACAGCACTGCACGCACTTGCACACCAACATCGCACCGTTACAACCTCGTCGCCAACACCCACTCCACATCACCCGCTCGAACCTGTGCCATACACAACCCCACGCTTCTGCCATCCTGGCCTGCATCCACCCCACGTCCACACCTACGCTCACTGCACCACATCCTCACGTGTCACCCAAAACTCACCTCCGCTGCCGTGCTCTAGCCCCGACGTGTCACCGAAGCTGCCAGCCCCACCCGTCGTCCGTTGTAATCGACTCCCAACCTCCATGCTCTCCCGCCCTTCCCGACCCCTCGCACCCACTGCGCTCGACATCGACGCCCCCGACCCGGGAGATGCGAACTGCCCCGGGTTCAGAATTCCCTTGCTGAACTCTGGCAGCGAGTGTGGATGAGGCGGCAACCGATGCCCGCCTCCTCCCATGTGCCCCAACGAGTGCCCCGCTGCTTCCATGTGGTTCGCTTGCGCCACGTGACTCCCGATCGTTCCCACCCTGATCGGCTGAGACATGTGTGACGCCAAGTTCGGACTGTTCGGCGGCTTGCTCGGTGACTGAAAGCTTCCGTAACCCAGTGTCGCATGCATTCCTCGAACTGCCCCGTTCTCGCCGCCCCCGCTCCACATCGACGCATGCCCTGCACACGCCCCACCCGCTGCCTTCAATCCCCCTCTTCCACCCCCGTCCCCCTCACCCACTCATACCCTCCTTACAACCACAACCACCGCTCACGCTCGTCCACGCCCACGCACCACTCAACCATCCTCCCACCACACCCACTCCTCCTCACACCGGATCCCATGCTTACTCGGAGGCGATGTGTTCAACGGAGACAGCGCCTGCTGCCGAGACCGCACATCTTCGTCCCCTGACTCTTGGTTCAGCTGTTGAAGCAAGCTGCTGCTACATCCCCCAACACATACCCACACAAACAACACGTCAGACACTCCACATCACTTGCCCGCTCGCTTCACAGCTCGCGCGCAACCACATCCTTCCCCACCCTCTTCCCACTCCATCAACTTCACCGCCTCCAACCCATACCAACACCCACCAATCCGTTGCTCCCTCCACACCCCATCCTCAACGTCCCACCCCATCCTCAACGTCCCACCCCACAACCAAACTCCAACCCAGGCCACGTATCTAACCTCCGACGCGCTCCACCTGGTCGACTTGGCTCCAGCTTGATGCGCTTCCCGGCTATGTCGCTTCTGTTCAAAGCCCGCAATGCTGCCTCCGCTGACCGGACATCGTAGAACTCGATGAACTTGTGGTGCCGCTTGTGCGGCGTTTCGCGAATCTGCTCAACCACTCACCCCTTGTCAAACCACCGCTTCACCACCCCAACCCACACCTCATTTCCTCCAGCCCCACCTCTGTCCTCCTGCTTCTCACCTCAACCCACCCACACTGCCACCACGCCCCTCCTGGCCCTCACTGCACCCCACTCCACCCCACTCCACCCGCTCCCAAATCACATCCATACCTCACACTCTCCCTTACCTCTTTCACTTCGCCATAAGCTCCAAATATCTGCCGCAGGTCGTCGTTCGACACTGATGCGTCCAAGTTGAACACCACAAGCGTCCCCTGGTTTACGTCCTTGTCCGATGGATTGTCCTGCACCCCACATTGCCACTCGCATCTTTAGCCATCTCCATCCCATCCATTCCCAACCCACCCCACCCCACGCCACCCCACCTCCAACTCATCAAACACTCTACCTCGCACCACATTCGCTGCCCCATCCCATCCCTACAACCGCCCCAACTCCCAACCACTCTGCTTCCCCTCACCGCCCCTCGCCCTCCGTCACTTCACGTCCTGCGTTACCTTAGGGATCGAAAAATGGATATCCAGCTTCCTCCGCCTCAGCGGTTTGTTCTGCAGCGCCCTCATCGCGCTGCGCGCTGCCCGGATGTCATAGTACGATATCATCACGAACCCTCTGTGCTTGCATGCGGTGTACAACGTCCGGATCGCCCCGTATTGCTGTTACACACCACAAGTCAAACCACCGCTCGTTAGCGCTGCTCCTCACCCCGCACCCCAACCACTCCTGCCCACCACAAACCTACACACCACCCCCCAACATCCCCGCGCTGCCACCACTCCCACCCTTCCCTCCCAACCTTCACGCTCTTCCTCGGGACCTCACTTGCCATGCCCACCCATCTAGCGCCTCACGCCCCACCATCAATTCACTCACTTCCCCCACACACTACCTCAAACAGCTGCTTCAGCTCCGTATCCTCCACGTTCGAGTTTATGTTCCGCACGAACAGCGTCCTCGACGGATGCTCCCCGTATGGATGCTCCCCCGCCACCGACCCCGCAGCCCCGCTTTGCTGTCCCGCTCCCGAACCGTCCCCTATCCGATGGTTACTCGCGTACCCTCCCACCCCGTCCTGCGCGTCCCCTTCCAGCTCCATCCCCCCTCCCGAACTGAACAGATCGAACTCCTCCAGTTCCTCGTTGTTCGCATTCTCTTCCCTCCTGTTCTGCGACGCGTCGTAGTCGTCCACCACCCCCGCCAACAGATCGTCGTCGTCCGGAAGCAGGTTCCCAATCGTGTGTAACTCCAGCTCCTCCAACGACCCATACGCCAAATTGTCGTCCGCATCCAGATCGTTGATCAAGTGCGCCGAAGCCGTGTCCAGTGACTGCACCACGCGGTTCTCCGACTCCGACAATCTCACTGCACAACCACACCCACCACACTCCTCAGATTCCTCCACCTTCTCCCCCCCCCCCCCATCATTCCCAACCACCACGCCCCTCCTCCCATGCCTACCCTGCACGCCTCCCAACTGCGTCCCGCCCGACAACACCCACGCTTGCCTCGTCTAGGGATTGCCGTCCACGCTCAATCACGCACACCTACGCCTCCGCAACTGCAACTGCAAATCCAAACGCCAAGCGCCACACTGTTGCGCTACCACCTCTCACTGTCTACTACACCAACGCACACCCAGCAACCAAAACACAGGGTGGAGTTGCGCTGCTTTACTTTTGTCAAAAATTGCCGAAAACGACGTCGAGAAGTTGCTGCCATCCACCCCCCTCATCGGCTCCAGGTTCTCCAGGCTGCCGTCCACGTGCGGAGACGACGACAGTCCCGCCATGTCTCCTCTCTCGCTCGACATGCTCCACGAGTACGACGACAAGCTAGGCGGTCTCCCTTCCCCGACCGCACCTAATCCCCACTGTTCCACATTGCCTTGTTGCCCGTTGCGAGGGCTTCCTCTCGGCCAGTCCTCACCCCGATTCATCTGATTGCTCAACGACCATTGCTGGGTGCCTCCCCCCCTGGGAGGCCCCATTCCCGGGGGCGGATTATTGGCATACCCACCCGACATCGTCCGCCTGCTTGGCTCCATCGCCGGCTCTGAGGTTTTATTCCGTGGCCTGGCACCACACATCGTCCACCATCACATGTCACTCCTCTGCGCTCACAAACCATTTCGGTACCCTACTCACATGGTTGTTGTCGTTACACGATTCACTTATTCGTGGGCAGAACAGAAATCTTGCTGGAAAGGTTTCATCCGATTCCAGACTAGGATGGAATCGGGATTCTTGTAAACCCTGTTGGTTGAATCCAGTATCTGTTTTCGAATCCCCGAGCGAAGACAAACCAGAGTGCAATTGCTGATTAGCGTAACTTCGATTCTTACAGACCACAGCGCGAATGGTGTTGCATTTTTTTGTTTCGGCAAGTAGTCATGACATTATTAACGCCGCCTGGTTCAATAAGGCAGCGCGGTCGACACTCGTTACATGAAGTGAATTGGCGGTTGGAGTCAAATTTCTTACAGCATACTAAGAGCAACTCTTGGAGATAATTTCTGCAGTGGATGTCTTGCGACCACTTCAACCCTATTTGATCCTCCTGGTCGTGATTGTTCCAATGTATGAAAGGAGACAGCCGACGAAAGGAAAAGCTGAATTAGCATGGTTTTCCTTCTAAACTGTGATTAACACGATCCTGGATCATCCCGACAGTCAGGCGTAAAATCGTATATTTTTAAGTTGCACATTTGTCCTCACAAGCGGGAGCGAAACCCTCATGTCGAGCGCTACGACGTCGAAAAACGGCTTGAAAACTCAGATACAGACACGGGGGGGGGGGGAGACCATCTGCGAGGTCAAGTACTACCCGCACTTTCACCAAGACCGACTTGATCTCGCGGACCGACATCAGCGCCATAATTTTATCTACCACAAGCACCTATAACCGCCACCATCGTCTTACCAAAAGCTTTCGATCATCACAAAACCGACAAACATCACTCACTCTACGAACCTTCGCATATGGACTTCGCAATATATCGAAACTTTCTGCCTCCAACACATTCTCACCCCAACCGATCCCTCCCCGCGAAACCCCAACCTCCGCCACAAATCGCTAAACACTCGACAACAGAAAAAGAAAAAGTGGCGAGCGAACCTGGCTCAAATTCGTCCGTGACATGCTCATCCCAAGCTCCAGCATCTGACCGCGACGGTGCTGCTGGTGCCGATGCAAGCGACTCCTATGCCAACAACACCAGGCTCCTCCACAATCAATCACGCTACAACATTCCTCCGCGGCCTCTCTACTTCCGGAGCCGTAGCGTCACCAACGACAATTATCTTGAGCGTCAACTACCTAAAGTACGTAGCACCCAGAGCCACCTCACGCAGCCTTCAAACTGAAGCCGCGTGAGGGAGAAACGAGACAAAATCGACTGCGAGTGAGATTGAGACACTGCCTTAACAATGAAAAAAGAAGCCTCGGGTTGTCCCCTCTTCAGCGACTGCCCAATCGGGGTGGTCAGTACGCTAATGCACCGTGGCGATGACAGAGCATAACTTGCGCTACGAGTTACCGGGAGTCGTAATCAGTGCGAGGTGAAGTACATGACGAGGGGAAAAGAAGAAAAGAAAGAGCGAAGAGCATGCCATGCAATGCGAACATCTAGCGGTACATTCTTTTGATACACGAGAAAAGGCCCCGCCGCGACGGAGCGCCTCGGAACGCAAAGGGGGAAGAAGAATGCAAGCAAGCAAAGAAGCAAAAAAATTAAAATTAAAAAGGAGGAGAATTCGAGGGGGGGAAGAAGCGTAAAAGAAAAGTAGCGGAGCGGGGCCAAGGGAAACGGAGCTGGCGTGTTGATATCGTCCACTGCAGGGCATCGCGGGCCGGGCCGGGCCGGGCAGACCCCCCCCACCCGGGCGGGGATGATGGATCCGCCAAGAGCGACGTGACACCTCACATTCAGAAAGCCAAGGGGGTGAGTGAACTTGGCTCTGTTCACACAAGGGTGTAGATCGATCATGAACTATATCCTTCATCATTTCCCACAAGATTAACTCTTCCACATACAGAAGAGTGGCGATAATAATTATAATAATAATAATAACAAAATCGCATCAGTCACTGTGAGGTTGGCTTCCAATTGAGAATATGCACGCAATGAGGTTGTCTGTTTTGCGTGGAAATTGGTGGATGGGGATCTGGATAAGTGATTTAGGGGAGGAAACTTGGTTATAATTGGAGGAGGAGAAAATAAATAATAATAAACCTGTGGTCGTGGCAAGGAGGGTCAAAGGAGGATAAACTTACCATACTCCCAAATTTGTCCATATATAGTTTAGCCCTCTCTCTGTTGTGGCTCTCTCTCTCCTCCAGCCTGCCTGATTCGTGCCGACTATTCTATTCCCCAGGGTGGTGGTGGTGGTGCCGGCGAAACGGGATGCCGCTCTCCGACGTTGGCGGCACGAAATTCACATTTGACTCGGTCACTCCTCCTCCAGCTGAAAAGGGCTTATCGTCATCCAAAGGGGACTCTCTCTCTCTCATCCATAATCCATCCATCTATCCATCGTTCATTCGTTCGTTCGTTTATGCATTCATTTGTTTGTTCATTTATTCAAGTGGGGTATCGGGAATCATGTGGTGCCCAGGTAGGTCACATGGCCTTCCATTGGTGGTGCCCTCTTGTGTCCCGCCTCCTCCATCTGCCCCACTCCCTTCTCCCCTTTATTTATTTATTTATTTATTTATTTGTATTTGTTTATTGATCTAAAAAGATGGCACCTTGAGTGTGTGAAAACAAATACCTTGGATTCATGTTTCTACCCTTGGACGCACCCAGTTCAGCAGATGCAACCATAAATGTATCATCCTGCACTGAGGGTTTTAATGTGTATATCAAATGTATTCACTAGATGCATCTCTATGTGGAACATTACATTTGACTGTGGAGTTAAACAAGAAAAACTGGCTTGATGTTTAGAAATAATTGTTGATCCCACCTTAATTTTTGGATGTTTCATTACATTTTACTAAAAAAAATTGGCTTGTAGGAGCAATGTCAATCTATTTGATGTTAATAGTCGTTTATTGAATTTGTAACACATGTAGAGGTAACAAACAATTGACTTATTATAAAGCACCAAAATTAATAATTGTATCACACAATTTCGTATCATGATTTGCAGAAACAGATAAAATAGTTATTATAAAATATATATAACCAGTTAGGATCTTGATACTTTTTATTTTAACTAAAAGTACTCAAATACTATAAAAAAATGAAAATGTAATTTTGTAGAAAGTTCTTGGTGTTTCAAACGTTTCATTTTTAAGTTTTAAAATTAGGCTGTTAATTTTTACTACCATGCAAATCATTATATATAATGGTTTTATCCTTTGGGATGTTCTTGAACTTGTACTAGTGTTTTATGCATCATAAATCAACATCACTTGTAGAATGTGTATGTAGGAAAAAACTTGTGAAGGAGCTAACAAATATTGAGTGCAAAAATAGCAATATATATAAATATATGTAAATATGTATATATATATATATATATATATATATATGGACTGTGATGTTACACTATGCTAAATAAAATTTACGAGAATAAGTTTTATCAACAAACTCTGAAAACTTTAAATTTTTACTGTTTAAATCTTAAATTAAAAAATTCAGAATCTTACAAAATTGTGAGGGGTGAACCTTGTCTTTAAGACATATATGTGTGTGTGTATATATATATATATATATTTATATTTAACGTAAAAATTTATAAAAGACAAGTGGTTAAATATGAAATAATTACTATGACTATTATTCAGTTAAAAAGCAGAAAATCTTTAAATATCTGTATCTGTTATTATTCTGAATTTTTTAAAAATATAAGTGATCCAAAACCAATGAAAAAGAAACAGCACTTATTGTTCCCACATTTTGTAGATACTTTTTTTTAAAAGAATTTTAGTTGGTGTGAAATATATATATATATATATATATATATATATATATCTTCCCAATTCCTTTAAATCTTGAGAGAATGTATTGCAAAAATACTTTAGGGAATTAAGATATTTAATTCTCTAGCACTTCAAAGAAATGTAGAGATAGAATTTTGCTCATGGTGGTACTTGATTATAATTGTTTATTCTAAGACCCAATCCTTTACTGCTTTCGTGTATTTGGAGTAAATTTAACATACCATGAGAATGTTTTTTGGTTGTTACATGCATAAAAAGATTAGCAGTATTCACATAATGCTTTTATATATATATATATATATATATATATATATGACATAAAGATTTTAATTTTGATATTTAAAAAAGAAACACACTATTTTATTGTATCAAAATATTCATGCGGAAGTAAAAAATACCGTATTTTTTCATATATTCTGTAATGAATTTCAAAAAGCTGATCCCATGAATGCCAAATTTAAGTTTGTTATGCTTGTTAACAACTGTTTTGGTTAAGTTAGCAAGTAATCAGATAGTGGTCTTAAATTTTCAAAATTAGGTTCAGCTTCAATATCTATGATATGGTTTGAGACTGTTTTTTAAAATACTTAAATAACCTTTTCTTTCTCTAATAATACAAAAATTGAAGTAGTTGATGAGCAAAATTATAATGAGGTTTTAAATATAATAATATATATATATATATATATATATATATATATTTTTTTTTTAATTTTACATTTGTTATCCTTCTTATGTAAATAGTAATTCATCTAAAATAAATATTTTGTCTTGGCCAAGACACATTATACAATCTTGAATTCTAGAACAATTGATTAGCTCTAAAGTAATGTATAGAAGTGACAACAACAATCAGAAACCTTCATAGTTTTCTAGATGCAACTTAAACAATAAAAATATTAAAATATTAAAATGCTTTATCACGCTTTGTAAAATTTTGTTTTTATCAATGTCCAGAAACAAGGATATATATAAAGATTCTTCTACCACTTATTTATGCTTGAATTTAATTGTTGACATTTTTTTAAAAAAATTTATTCAATAAATCCGAAATCTTTGATTTACCAAATAGTTATGTCATGCTATTATTATAGAACATTTATACACGCTATTCTGTAAACAAGGCACAATTTCTTTTAGAATGCTACACAATTAAAATTTTGTTTCTATAATATTTTGTTAAGATGTAAAAACTTGGCCTCTTATTTAATTCAATAATTTTGCAATTTTAAGAAGAACACATATGATTTACAATGATATTTGACACATTTGTCACAAACGTTTTTTTTTTTTTTTTTTTCCAAAAATATTTTTAGCTTCTACTTTAATACAAAACCCACGTTATTTTGAATGATTATAATGACACAAGCCGTAAAAAACCCACGAAGTCATTAAAAACACATCACACATTTACACGGAAGAATAGAGATCTGAAGACCCTCCCACAACGTGAAGACTAAGATGTATCGTGGGTCTTGAAACGCTCATGAAGACCCCGAGTCTTCCCACGTGGACTCCACGTCATACTTTTAAGGGGTGTAATGAGCCGAGCTGGCATGGGGACAAGAACAGTGGGTTTAGGGATGATGAGCCTGTGTGTGCAGGGGCTGGTTTCCACGGCGTTGCAGCACACCAAATTGCTTCTCGCCGTGCTTCGTTATCCCGTGGGCTCTCCCCATCCTTACTACTCAACGCCGCGCGCGGGCGCGAGCGCGAGCGTGAGCGTTTCCTTGGAAGTCTCCTATATTTTTTTAGAATTGAAAGTTTTTTTGGAGTTTCGAAGCGTATAGTTTAGTGTATTTCCATCATGGGAGGCAGAAGGAATTTACGGTGGGGAGATGCGGCGGAGGAGGATGACGAAATCGAGGGTGTGTTGCCGCCTACGCAAGTTTTTGGTCCTGATGAGAAGGGCGTTAAGATTATCATCGAATGGAAGAAAAATGACGACAATGTGCGTACCAAGGTCATCAAGACCATCCGTGTGAAGAAACAGGTATGGCGTCATTGATGTGTGCGTCGTTTGTTTTCTACTTTTCTGTTTTGATTTCGGAAGAATTAGTGTTGAGACTCTCAATGTTTGTGATTGCAATTCAATGCGGGTATTGAAAAGATTGTAATGCACTCGTTAGAGTTATAGACTGGTGTAGGATTGGCAGGCAGTGATGTATGAGTTGGTTCGAGTTAACAGATGAAGAAGCTGAATCCTGCCACGATCCGGAGGCGTTCTTTGGGGAAGTTTGGTGATGCGCTTGGTCAAAATGCATCTGATAACTTAACGGTGGTTTCTACTGAGGAAATCTTTCTGGAGAGGACGAGACCAGCAGGTGCCAAAGCTGAACCTGAGAAAGGAGCCGACCTTGCATCCCTTGGAAATGCCTCTCTTATTGTATGCAGGACATGCGGAAAGAAGGGAGATCACTGGACCTCTAAGTGTCCTTTCAAGGAGTTGGCTGCATCGAGGGGCATTATTGCTGGAGGCGAGAAGCCACCGACCGACGATAATGTTCCTGGCATTTCCGCTGGAGCTGGAGGAAAGGGATCGTATGTGCCACCCAGCATGCGTTATGGTAAGGGTAATGAAGGAGAGAGTATGAAACGACCAGGAAGAGACGATAATTCTATCCGAGTTACAAATCTTTCAGAGGATACCCGCGAGCAGGATCTTCAGGAGTTGTTCAGTCCGTTTGGTTCAATCTCTCGAATTTACGTTGCGTTTGATCGTGAAACTGGGCTTAGCCGTGGCTTTGCTTTCATCAATTTTGTCAACCGGTATGAATTCTGCTCATTTCTACGGACCTTGATACTGTCGAGTTATCTTGTGTGGATTGTTGAGTGTGCTTTTGAGTCTATTGTAATGACGACCATCACCTTCATGGGGAATGCTCTTCAGATGAACAAAAATAAGACCGGGCACTTTTGCATACTTTCTCCTAGTCTTTTGATGCATTTCGTGAGAGGTATATAGTTCATTGCAGTCGAAGTGTTTATGCGGACTTCATGTGTTCTCTATCAACTGTCTTTGATGATTTATGTTCATTCATGCAAGCATTCACAATTTTAAATACCTATACATGTTCAGGTTTTTTAATTTTTTTTTAAGTTGCACTGAACCTCGGCTGATGGTGAATGGCTCGGGTAACTAGAAGTGATGTGACCCATTATTCTCGGAAAAAAGCTAATCGCATGTGTTCTGGCACAGGGATGATGCTATTCGAGCAATCAACAAGTTGGATGGTTATGGTTACGATAACCTTATTTTGCGCGTCGAGTGGGCAACTCCCAGGGCTGATAGATCTTAGAGTAACCAGCATCTGCGATTCGGACTGTGTCAGTAAGGGTTTTGTTTCGAGCCTTAGAGTTTTTTGTAGGCGGTTTCAAGTATATAATTTTTGCTGGACTTGTTTCACTTTCTTGTAACTCAATGCAGGTGAAAATATTCTGCACATTCTTCACATGTTTCGTATTATTTTACAACTGTTAAGAGTTGCATTATGGGCCTTGTGAACATAAGACAGCCAACCTTTGTACATGCTGAAAGGAACTTTCAACATGGCAAGTAGCTCCGCTGGCTGTATCTTCACACCAGAATTTGATGAAACGTTCGGTTTTTAACTCTGTAGGGAGTCACTAGGGTCTGGTCGTTGATAACGTCGGGGCATGAGGCACAGCCTTAGCTACTGTATAGCTTATTTAGTTGCTAAATAGGTTCTGTCTTTGGTTTCTGTAAATATAATTGTTATCACTTGGACTTTGTTTAAGTTCATACTAGAGGATGAGAAATGTTTTGTAATGCAAATCCATCTGTATGGGTTCTTTAAGAAGTGCTTCCAGTTCCTCGTAGCCCAATCAATTTGACATGAACATCTATTATAGATAATGTGCTCTGATGGGGTCTGGCTTTTGTTGAGCCGTGGAATTTGTGAAGCTTACGTTTATGGAAATCAAGTATTTCAGAAGTCTCTGTCCTGGACTACTTGTACTCTTCAGTCAGGGATGCATCGAAGTTGGCTTTGTGCGAACGATGTGTGGACCTGGAATTGCATGACGTTGAGTTGAAAGAGTTCGAAGCAACTGACAACTCTTTCAACTCAATTGAACAGTACGCCTTACAATTTTTTTTAATCTAAATGTGAAAACCGCACCCACTTTGGTATGTATGAGTTTACATTGTTTTTGTCCAGCGTACAACCATTTTGCTCGCATCCAAATTCCTAGAACATTCTCATTGAGACTTTCAGAACGAACCATTGTGCTGCAGCATTATCTTCCTGCTGTGCAAGCGAACTCTGTCAAAATCACGGTACTATACGTGATCATGAATCCGGTAATTTCGATTTAAAGTTTATACATGAAGAGATGTTTTAGGCGCTGGTTGTGCTTGATGATTCAACTGGATAGCAGAATGAATTTAAGTCACATTTTTTACTGCACATTGGGTCTCCATTTTTTTTTTGATTTTGAGTAAATACATATATATATATATATATATATATATATGTTAACATTTCGTTTTGTCATTCTTTAACACTTAAAATGACTTTTTTGTGAGCTTGTGAGTATTGTTAGGAAACATAATTCATCCTTCAAAAGCTTTAAGTAATAAAAACATCATTATTATCCATATAATGGAACTATCATTTTAATGAATTCAAAGAAGAACAAAGGAGAAAAATCTCATGTTATTTATTTACTTATTTATTCTTTTGAATCATAATCATATAGAACGTAACAATAAATTTATTGCTTGCCATATTTGGAGGACAATTCAAACCAAAACTCAATGATTTGTTTTTTAGAAAACAACTATCAATAGAATGCACCAAAGTCCTTGATGAATTCCAACATAAAACTTTTACATTATTAGCTTTTTTTAGGAATACAAATGTAATTCTGATTTGCAAATATGCATTTGACATTTTTCTTTGTAGGTACAATCCATTAAAGTATCATTGACATGGATAGCAATAAATCACACACACACACACACACACACATATATATATATATATATATATATATATATAAGAATAAAATAAAAATTCTATATTATTTTAGCAAAATTACTTTAATTTCACAAAGTTGTTATTACAGTTATCACGATTAATGTCATTATTGCTTTAAAAAATATTTGATGGGTATCAACAAGGAACTTAAGGAATACTTTACATTAGAAGTAAATATGAATTTTAAACTAACATCACTGAAAAGAAATATTCTCCATGAATATAGAAGTTTTGGCTTGTTGTAAGGCCTTTCGTGCAATGAGTCAAAGTCTAACAATGAACATCCCTCTTTCGACATCATTAACAATATTTTAGTACTAAAGACAAGGCTTGCTATGATCCCAAGAGTATAAAATAAACCATCAGTTGCTTCAAGCTAACAACAAACTTTTTAAACTGAGTTTTGGTCAACTCCTCTCCATCATAAATATGAAACTTGTTTTTAGCAGTTATTTATTTATTTGTTTATTATGAAATGAAATGATATAAAACTATCAAAGAATTGTAGTGTGACAACAGGTTGAAGGTTCAAATCCAAATCAAGAAGTCCTTGACTTTGCCAAATGGATTGTGGCACTAAGTTCTTAATTTTCTAATGTTCTAAACAAACAAAAAGCAAAATCAGTTGCTGGTTTCAAGTATCTTGTTGCTGTTCACAGAGAACACTTAAGAATAAAAATTTCTTGACTTACAATTTATTTCATGATAGCTTCTGAAAATCCAAGTCAGTTTTTTATTATCAAAACACAAAATATCTTAGTAATTGTTTTGTTTTGTTTTGTTTTTGCATAATTATGATACCATTTTTTTTTCAAAATAAGTTAACCACAAAGTTCTGCAATTTTGAAATTTATTTCAAGTCTCAAATAATCCATTTATGCATTGATTGATTTTTTTCACGTACCTTGATGAATAAATCGAAGAAAATGATTAAAAAATTTGTATTACTTATTTTCCAACAAGACCTGCAATACAATCGACAATAAAATTAGCCATCAACTACTTTTGAAACATTTTAGTCATATTGTATCTTGTTCACACAAGTTGATATTGCTATAGATTTATTCTAATGTTTGTAAATATGACACCCATGGCTTTAAAAAGAGCTAAAACAATCACATGTCAAATTGTTTTTGGTAAGTAACTAAAATAATCTATACTTAAGTATATACTATAATACAAAAATTATCCTTAATAAGTATCTATACTAAAATACAAAGTATATATATATATATATATACACACACACACATCTATATATATATATATATATATATATAGGGAGTTGTTAAAGCCACATCCCACATCCCACCTCATGATCCATTTTGTACATGTCTTTTGTTTGTTAACCCATTTCCAATCCTCTTCCTTTGTTCCCATCTTGTCACCACCTTACACCTTGATTTCACCTCTATCCTAAGAATTTGAAATTGAACAATTCAATTGGCTATTTAGTTTCTTTAATACTTAAATAAAAAAAAAATTAAATTAGTTTATCAAAATTATCTAAAAAAAAATCATTTTTTAAAAAAAATAATAAAAAAATCCTTCAATACTTATTTTGTTTATAAATGAATATGTTAAATAATTACAATAGAATTTTATATCCATCTTTTTATTTGAGTTAGTTATTCATCACATCCACACTTCCAATTAGAATTCTATGAATTTTAAATAAAATATTTTTATTACATATTTTTCTATTATCTTATTTGAGAATATTTTTTATTTTTAAAAGAAATTAATATACTTATTTATACATATCTAACTCCACATACATATGATATGAAAAAGAAATAATAAAAAACCATGTAATTTTTAAGGGTACTTTTAGTAAACTTTTCAACTTTTTTTATCCATATAAAATTTAAAAGATTTTTATAGATTTTTCTTAAGGGATATGTGAAAATTCACTTGAAAATAAATTAAATTTAGCTTAATTTGATATTGATTTGGAATAACCATATCTATTATGAAATGCCAAATTTTAAACTTCTTACATATTATCTTAAATTTTAAGACATATATTAAAATATTTTTAACACTTTATTATTCCAAAAATTCAAACTATATTATTATTATTTTTATGATTATTTATAATATTAAAATTATTAAATAATAATTATTGAATATTATTAATAATATTTTTACCAAAATTAATAAGTTTAGAATGATTAATAAACTAAAATAGGGGGCCTAGAAATCAAAACACTCTCAAGTGAAATACTTTTTGTAAGGAATTATTTTAAAAACTTAAAAGAAAATCAGAATACGTATATTTATGTATATATGTGTATCCATAAAACCTTTTATTGAAGAATATTATAATATTAAATTAAATTATTGATAATTAATAATACACTCTCATTGTTATTCTACTATTTGAATTCTTTTAATGGTTACTCATTTATGTATTTGTATGTATGTTTCATTGTTATTCTACTATTTGAATTCTTTTAATGGTTACTCATTTATGTATTTGTATGTATGTTTGTACACACATATTAATCTAATAAGATAGAAACTTGATATGCACTACATATCTCTTCAAAATTTTATATGAACAAAAATTTAATTAATAATAGATACATCTTTATAAATACAATGACAACAACTATTATTTCATGACAATTCAATTCTTCATACAATTGAATTTTGAATTATGAATTTCTTTTTGCAAGTAGTAACATGCATCATATTAACGTATCAATCTAACACCATAATATTTTGTATCAAGAAATTTCAGCTACATAAAATCCAACTGATAAACTTTGAAACATGTATGATTAATTCATAAAAAAAAAAAAAAAGAAAAAAAAAAAAAATCTCTTAAGAAGGGGGTAGGGCCGAAACGGGGATAGGATTGAGGTGGAATTGGACACGGTGGGGACGGATTGGGAATGGGGTTAGAGACGAAGGACATGTACAAAATAGATCATGAGGTGGGAAGTAGAGTCCAACTTTAACAACTTCCTATATTTAATGTCCAATAAATAGAAATTTTCTAAAATAAAAATATTATATTTATTTTTTTAAGATTAACAACTTTAACTTGTTCTTAAATATATAAACTAAATAATTTTGATATTTTAGAAAAAATTATCATACAAATAATATTAATCAATCTTTTTCTTAATTATAAGAATTCATTTGTGCTTTTGGTATTTTAATATATCCTTTCAATATACATGTTTTTTGAAAGCTTAGAATGAGAAGAAGTTTAATGTCCAGATAACATTCTGCTTGTTATATGATTTATTTCATAATGAAGTTTTCTTTCATTTAAAACTACACTATATATCTTTTGCATGTCAAGAACTTGTACATTTTTAAGTGCTACAACAATTTGAATATATGTATATATATATATATATATATATAGACATTCATATTTATATTTTTTTATTTAAAATTTTAAAATTTTTATATTTATTTTTTAGAATACATTTTACTCTTAAATCTAAAATGATACTGATTAAGGTAAAGTTTATAATAAATATTCGTCAATATAAAGACTTTAGATTGATAATCAACTCCATATTAAAAATAAATTTCTATAATATAAGTAGGGTTTGTATGTATTTTTTTTGGTTTTAAATTATATAATTTTAAAATATACTATTTTAAAATATATATATATATATATATATATATTTAATATTTTTTATAATAAAAAATTATGTATAAAATATATTTTAATATTAAAATTATAAAATACATAATATTTTTTAAATTTTATAAAATGTAATATATTACATACAAAAATATTGTAATGCCTCTCCAATTTATTATGATGAAGGACTTTGATGTTTAAAGATTGCCACCGAAGGTGTAATA